AACAAAGGAAAAATAAAGAGCTGGAATACAATGATCAATGTTCAGAAAAGGCAAAGTATTAACAGAGCAAAGGGTCTCAATTTTCTGGTTTAGATATGATGCTGTCTAATATGCTTGAGTGTGTTTCAGAAAAAGATTTGAACCAGAATATAGAGTTGATACAGATTTTACTTTAAACTAAATTAAAGAAAACCCAAGGAACTTCATAGGTATTTTATAAAACTAGATGAACAGGTACTATTACAGTGAAAAAATGCAGTTTGATGAACAGCATATCAAAATAAGTAACTTTTGCTGCTCTTGCCAACAGATACATTCTAGACAAGAGAAAGCTGCAAGAGAAAATGCAGTAGGAAACACCATGGACAGCTCTCGAAAACTTCTGCTTGATGTGCTGTCCTGACAAGAGACAAGCAAACTAGCAAGATGTTAAGATACTGTAGTGCTGTTATATTAATCAGCCATGATCTGGAATACAGAGTCATTCCAGTTTTACATACAGTAGCACAGTGCCCTTCCTCTTACAGGCTGCTAGTGCAATGGCAGCCTTGCAGAAGGATCTAGACAGATTGGAGCATTGGGCAATGATTACTGGCATGAAATGTAACAAGTCCAAATGCCAGATTCTGCATCTAGGATGGAGTAACGCTGGGCACAAGTATAAACTGGGAGAGGAGTGGCTGCAGACCAGTGCTGCAGAAAAGGATCTGGGGGTGCTGGTCGACAGCAGACTCAATAGGAGTCAGCAGTGTGCCCTGGCAGCCAAGAGGGCAAACCGCATCCTGGGGCACATCAAACACAGCATAACCAGCTGGTCAAAAGAGGTGATTATCCCACTGTATTCAGCACTGGTGTGGCCTCACCTTCAATACTGTGTGCAGTTCTGGGCCCCACAATTTAAGAAGGATGTTAAAGTACTCGAATACATCCAGAGGAGGACAACAAAGCTGGTGAAAAGGCTGGAAGGAATGTCCTATGAGGAGCAGCTAATGACTCTGGGTCTCTCTGGTTTGGAGAAAAGGAGGCTGAGGGGTGGCCTCATTGCTCTCTACAACTTCCTGAGGAGGGGAGATGGAGAGGGAGGTGCTCATCTCTTCTCCCTGTTATCCAGTGATAGGATGCATGGGAATGGTTCAAAGCTGCACCAGGGTAGGTTTAGACTGGACATTAGGAAACATTTCTTTACCAAAAGGGTGGTCAAACACTGGAACAGCTTCCTAGAGAGGTGGTCGGTGCCCCAAGCCTGTCAGTGCCTTAAAAAGAGGCATTTGGACAATGCCCTTAATAATAGGCTTTAACTTTTGGTCAGCCCTGGAGTGGTCAGGCAGTTGGACTAGATCATCGTTGTAGGTCCCTTCCAAATGCAACTGTTCTATTCTATTATATTCTATTGCAGAACCACTTGAGGCAGTCCTTCTACAGTCAGAGCGGGGAGGGAAAGAGGGGGTTTGGACTCTAGGATTTCTCCCCATATCAGAAGACTAGCTTAAATTTGCTTAAACTGTCACATGTAATGAGAATATTTTCTGAGGTACTGTGATAGAGAAGGGGTCATTATGGGCTACTGCAGGGGAGATTATTGCTGTGATTCATGTTGGAGCAAATACTTGGGAGAAGCAGACTTAGAGTCCTATAAATTATGTGAAACACATGCACAGTTCCACCTGAAATATGCAACAGCTCCATGTTTACGGTGAAGATTACAATATGGTCTTTTCCAGGCAGGCAAACACAAGCTAAAACTACTCATGGTGAACGACCCAGATACATGCTAGGAAGGATCCAAATGGTACACTGTTATGGCATAATAGTGCTGTGCCTAGATCAATATTCCTCACCTCTCAAGGGGATTTTATAGATTAAGCACAGCACTGGACTAAATGTGGCTAGATACCTCCCAAGGTGCTGGCTTCCAGCTGGGTGCTTACAGCATCAGCATAAAAAGACTTGCATATATATAAAGATATCTGTACACACAAAGGTGAAAAATAGTTCGAACATGAGGAATTTAAGCTTGAGGATCTCTATGGATATTTTTCCTACAGGTGGAACAACATGTCATGCCCTAGCTAAGCTGACAAACAGAGCTATGCCAGAATGTTTAAACTACCAAACAGGACAATCTCTACAGCAAGACTTGTGGAGTAAAAAACTGAAGAAATAAATAAGCAGATAAATGGTGACCCAATATTATGGTATAGACCCTGAAGGACAAAGAACTAAATTATTAGGAAAAAAACACAGGGAAGTATAAGGAAAGAAAGTAATAAGGAGGTAACCTGAGGTAGGCAAATACATGTGTGGGAGCTGTACAAAAATGCAACTGAAAAGAAAAGATCCAGGGCACATATCCACATATGGCAGAAATTCTGATATTACAGACAAGTGAGAAAAGAAGAAACAACTCTGCTGAATATCAAAGTATGCAGTTCCAATTAATATTGAAAAAAAGAGAAAATAAAGAGAAAAGCCATGGGAAAAGCCATCCAAAAATTAAATTAGATTTTGGATAATCACAGAGGGTTTTTAAATCTATAAAAAAAGTCATTTTGGCAGCATGTGGAATTTAAACAAATGTTGGAATTTACATATCACCAACCCAACAGCCAATTAGACAGATGAAGGAGTTCTGGGCAGGCATGAGGAAATTTGCAGCAACCCTCCAAAAATACAACCAGCCAAAGCAGGGGTCATAGGTCTTTCAAGCACAGCTACCTCTCAGGTCTGATCAGTTTTCAAGCATACCTCTTCACTGCTCCAGAGAACTAGAGTTAGGCTGGGACTAGCTATAAGAGCTGACCATTCCCACCCCTGATACCCTAGTCTGAACTAACAGAACATATTCTCTCCTCTGTCTAGAGGGTCATCCAAGACAGAACTGCTAGGAGATGGTCTGGGATTTTAATTCCAAATGTGAATAATTCTTGGACAGTTACAAATAAATCACTCAAGTCTGAGCTCCTCTGCCTCTCTTCTCTTGAGAATTTCTGATCAGGGAAGGGTATCAGGTAAGTCGCCTTTTTTCATTAAGCTTCACTCAGCTTCCTTAATGTGTATTCTGAATCTTCCTGGCAGATTTTTCTCCACAATATAACAATAGATGGATCTATTAATAATAAACTTTATTAAAATCTTCCTTTGTAGTGGCAAGTTCCCTACTTCAAGAAAAACACAGGTATTTTCCTATGTCTTAGTGGGCATTTCTCATTGCTGTTTTTTCTCATTATGGTTAAAATATTCCCTTCTAAAGAGATGGTCAGACTGAAAGACTGTCTGGAATCAGCTTTGGTGTTTCCTACTTTCTTCTAATTGCTTCAGTCTTTTTCAGTTTCGTTTAAATGAAGGTGTGAGAAAGATGCTAACCCGATTTCTCTGGCTGAGAAGCTCTGCACAGACACCACATAGAAGTATTCAAAGTCTTTATAAACAGAAGTTTTTGTTTTGGGGAACTAATTTTCCTCTTCCCTGCAGTAGGGCCTCTTTTGTTCTTTTTAATCTATCTCCTACTACTTGGTTCTTTTTTGCTTTTGTACTTGGAGTTAGGCTTGATAAATTATTGACCTCATCTTTTTATTTATGTTTTTTCAAGTTTTTATGTCTGTTTTTTTCTCTTGCTAAACTATTTCCTTCATTCAGTTTATTTGCTTTTGGATAGCATCAGTTTTTTGGTTTTCTGCTGTTTTCAGAAGCAAGCTATCTCATTGAAAATGCAGTTATTGGCTGTTGCTTCTTCTTTCTCTTTTTCCCTACATCAATACTCTCCCTGCAAAGAGAACAGAACCATAAAACCTCTGAGGTCAAGTAGGCTTTGAAAATGCTCATCATAGTGGGAAAAAGAGAGAGTAGATTGCTGTTCTTTGAAACTTTTTGTGTACATGAAGAAGGGAATCTCAGCACAAGAGGAGGGGAGTGATTTTCAATAGTGTGACATAAACCAAAATAAGCAGTCCAAAAAACTGAGAGGGGTCTACAGAAGTGGCAAACTAACTTAGACAGAAAGATAACTCAAAATTTCTCCTTGGCTGGTTTTGCAGTTCTGCCAGTTAGCTTGGAATACTGCATATGTTGGTAAACTGGGAATTATGTGTTACTTTGAGCCAGTGCTTGTATTGTATTTTATGTTTGGCCTTATTTTTGCAAGAATTCTTACAGGTCTGACCATACAGTGAAAGTTACCTATCTGTAGATATCTGATATTCTCACATATATGAGGAAGACAGTCAACAAACCTAACAGATAAAATTTTCACACTGCTTTATAAAAGGCCCTACATGAGAATCCTGATTTAAAAAAAAAAAAATTGCCTGCTTCTCTTTCCTATTCAGACATGAAGTTAAAGTAAGGTCTAAAGTGAATACCCAGAATAATAAGCTTCTGAAGTTTCATTTTATTGACATTTATTGTCTACCTAAGGGAAGGGAAAAGCTCCAATGTATGGATTATGCAGTAGATGGGGTCACCGGTTTTATTTTCACTTTGACATTTACTCATTGTAGATGGTGGATCAGCTACTTAGACAAACATTCTCCAGCTTTAAAAGTTCAGTCTGAAAACCTATGACACAGCTTTCATATGTACTGCACACCAACCTTTTCCATTGATCCTACATGAAAGATGGAGGTATTTAGCACATCGCAAGTAATCAAAAGGTATCATGCAAAACTGAGCTCATACTGTACCATTCAAACTGCAAGAAATTCTTAACAGTTCTACTTTGTTCTTCAAGTCATTACACATGTCTTGTTCTACAATTACCATTCCATTGCCTGAATAACTTCATTTTGAAAAATGACATTAGGGAAATACCTATACATGTACATCACAAATCATTTCCCATTGATTTTGGTTAAAAGCTAGAAAGTCTGCATAAATAGTTGTCTTTGATGCCCTCTAACAAGCTTAAAAGCAGTAATAACCAACTCAAACTGCTAGAAATGACTGTGCATGTCAACTGCCTGATGGCTGATCATTTCTTATGCGTAAGCATGTATTTTTGTTACCTTGATTGCTGGAATGGGCTTCTTCGGAAAGAAATGCTTTTTCTCGGGAAGCGCAGCAGCAATGCTCTGTTCCTTTAGTTTAAGCTTGTTCTCAGCTATTATCTTTTTGCGTTGTTCCAGGTAAGGCCCAAAACTGGGTAGTTTCTGAAACAAAAATCAGGAAACATGATTATGCTTAATGAGCAGGTGGAGCAAAAAGGTGAGTCCGATCCCACGGGCAAGATCCTAAGTCCTTGCTGAGTGTGACTTGCTTCTTATTCAGGAAGTTGAAATTGGTATCAGTGAGACTGTACCAGAGAGAGAAGTGAATAAAAATCAAATATGAACTTCAGGATCTGACTTGAAAATATATATTGAATATTAAAATATTAATATACCACAGCAGAAAAATAGCTGAATTGCAGGTCAGCATCCAACGGTCTTCTATTTCCCCATTGCATACTTGCTTATATAAACAAATGTATCATGTTAAATAATTCAAATGTGTAACTTTATTTCTATGGTATGCAGAAAGGTATCGTGAAACTATCAGTTTACTTAGAAGGGTTCCACCAGTGTTTAAGATTATTTGTATGGATATCTGAATATATCGATATACATTGTTAAAGCTTACAAACATGTATTTTGCATTCTGATAACAGAAGGCTGTCTTGACCTGTCAAAGTAAGGCTAACAAACAACAAATGAACTGAAACACATTCTAATCTCCTAATCTACCTCTATGTCCCACTTGCAGTCTTTTCTGCAACATTTAATCCCTGAACCTAATTAAGCAAACTCTAGAGGAAGATTTCACTGAATAGCAAAACTCATGTCTCACCCAAGAACATGAAAGTGCTGGTTCAGATTTCATAAAACACCCAGCCTCCTGAAAGAAGAAGTCCCTTTGCTTACCTAGCAGAGATATGGACAACTTGTAGTGTGCCACAATCACAGATTTAGGTGAATGAAAAATGGTAGAAAGTATGGATTTTTGCTTGATGCAAAAGACCATGCCCTTCCTCCCCTGAAACTAGTTCCTTATTCTGCAAAAGTATTTTATCTGCAGTACTGCAGAAACTAGCAGGTAGTAACAGGGGATACATAGCCTCAGCAGTCGCTAGCATTAATTCACGCTAATAATACAACCTCAAAGAGCATATCGAACAAGATACAGTACTGCTGTGGTTATCAATTTTTTAAGAAGGAATTTCAATGTGAATTTTAAAACCACAATTATTTAAAAATTTAGACATTATTATTTTTTAAAATGAAGTAAATCCAGAAGAGGTTACCCTGCTCTTCTGCTAATCCTTAGGAGAAAAATTCCTCAATGAGCTCTGTCAGTCACAATACCCAACCTTGGGACCTCAAGCTTCTTGTTATGACAAATAAAAGCTTTCTTGGCTGCTAGGTTTTTGGCACTCTGAACATAGAGCCAGAAGGTGAGGTCCTTGAAATGCTTCCCTGCTTCCGAGACTTGGTTTGTGGCCTCAACACATTTTTCACTTTAAGTCAGAACAAGACTTGCAGTCTCATGGTGCTCTCCAGAGGAGGTGCCCTCCTGCAGCCTGAGACTGAGCCGTACTCTGGGACAAAGCCTCAACCTAGGCAAACGCAAGAGGAGAACTGTGGGGGATGTTGCAGATCCCATCTGTCCCAAATCTAGATGAGGCCTGACTTTGCCCACCAGCAAAGGGCTCTTGTTTTGTCTGTTCAATAGGAACTTTGTTCCTGAATGTCATGTTCAAGGGCTTCCTTATAGACATCAAACAAACTTTCCTTTCTATGCAGTTGCCATACATGATCCTGGAAAGGAAATGCTCTAGGATGTCTTAAAATAAGGCTTTAAATATTACTGCGAACAGCGGTAAGGTAGTGGCTTTACATACCAAAGTCAAATAAGACAGCAAAACCAGAATTGGTTTAAACAGGAAAATGACTAGAAGGGAGAATTTCTCTAATTTCAATCTAATCAATAAGCTCTAAAGCACACACAGGGAGACTCAATTCTTTATATGACTTTAAGAAAGCCTAAGACTTTTAGCAAAAATCTAAAAAAATATAAATTTTGGTAAAAAGTGTTCTTGTACATCTGCTAGGCTGCATCAATTAGAAATACATTTTGACTACGAATAAGTAGTAGCTGTGTCACTGAGAAACTTTTCTTTCTCCATTAATTTATGTGCTGATGCCAACAAATTTGGGCTGGAGAGGGCAGGAGACCTGATGACAAAGCATTTTTGGACTCTTCCCTGTCTGGCCAGGAATTGAATTGCTGACTTTCAGAGTAGGTAGCAAAGCTAATTTTGCTGAGGTTTTAACTGAAATAGTAGAGAGATGAGACAGTTGTTCATGGCTTGACTGATTGAAGATCATCTTTGGGAAGAATAGCCAAATCTTTGCAGAATAAATAATTTACTTTTCTGTTCTCTTAAGGTGTGCCCAATCTCCTAATTTCTACAGACAGAAATACCGAGTATATTGAAATGAAATTGGTGATCTAAGGAAAAGTGTAGAAAAATAATTCATTTTTGTGTATGGGTGAAGAGCAAATTACAAAGGCAATTAATTAAGTTTTGAAGTTGTGAGATGGAAGTATTTAGATTTTTACATCTAACGTAGCTGCTAGCTGGAATGTACAGCAGACATTTTTAAAAGTGTGCAATGCCATCAGTACCATAATACAGATGTTTTGACATGCATGCAGTTAAATTAAACAATCTGTATCTTTTAAAAATAAATGAAACGATGATTAATCTAGAAAACTAACATCCAACCTTAGTCTTTCCTGTGCATTGCTGTTTTTTCATCAAGAAACTGATTAAGTGCAATTTGAACTAATTAAGGAAACACCTAGATCTTAGTCCAGACTTGGGCATACACAATGAGCTTCCACTGATTTAACAGAAGGTCACTGTGTGCCCATACAAATGGACTGGTTATTTTGTGTTTGGAGTCTAGTAGTTCACAAGCAGCCAAGCCAAATTTCATCAAACAACACTGAAAACCAGCAATCTTTTCTTTAACAATAAATAATACATGAATATGCAGCCTCAGGAGCTTAGGAAGGACTTATTGATGGTTCCCCTTATAAGTAATGCACAGATATAGGGAACAGTGATGAGACTGCTTATTGTTCAGAGCTGTGGTTTCAGACATTTTGGAGTCAAAGGCCATATGAAATGGCAAACAATATTTTAATGAAGTGAGTTACTGGATATAGCAGAAGCGGAAACATGTTAAAATAACTGCTGAAGAGATGGATATTTAAGAGAGTTTAAAACTAAATCACATCTAATCATTGTAGGGGTTATGGGGGATTTAATAGCACAATTCCCAATGAAAGCACAAGCACAGAACTTGGTGAGTTTAACTCTGTTTGCTTTTGAAATCTTGCTACAGTACTTTTTAAAAAATTTCTAGATATTCCAATGTCACTAAACTCTCCATACACAGATATCTTTGTCATATCAACATCTGCCTAGAAAAAAGCAATTAACATGATCAATATGTGGATCATAGCAAGTGCTGAGAAGATTGCAACAAGCAGAGTAATTAGGTAATTCTTGTCTACTTACATACCTGTATCAGTGATGCCTATAGCTGCATTATTTGTATCCATCTGTCTCTATATAGCCATAATTCAATGTGTTTCTATTCTATGAAGATCAAGGCCAAAATAAATGTATTAAGTGCTATTATTTCATTGTTTATAATTGCATTATTACTGAACTGGAAGCTTGAAATATTGTGCTGAAGTACTTTACAGAAAGAAAGGAAAAATCAAAATTCTGCTCCCCTCCTCCCACCAGGACTTCCAAAAGCTGCCCTTTAACTGATGAACTGTATAAATCTCCAGCAACATTGTGATTTTTGTTTCAGTAGTTTCTCCAGGGATTCATCACTGATGAATTTGTTCTTACTAGAAAAGCTAAATCCTACTCATTTAAAGATAACAGTATCTTCCACTAAAACTGTCTCTATCCAGATATAAAAAAGCATTACCCTGCCAATAGAGAACTGACAACATAATGAATCAACAATGAAACCTTAAGCCAGGAAAGCTTTAAGGTGAATAAGTCTGTTTTGATTATAATTTATTCATGGATCAATCTAAAGGTAATTGAGCATATTATGAACTTAAAAAGGTGCTTCTTTCCTAATGGTAAAAAGTAGAGAGAATCCTCCACTTCAGATTGCTGCAATTTTTATGGGCACAGCAGCAAGTAGCCTAACTGGTGGAACAGGCTAGTGAACAGGGCAGTGCAATATACATCAGATGACCCAGACTTTATTTCTAACTTTGAAACTGATCTGCTCCTTATTCTGGGGAAGTCCACATACGGCTCCATGATGCAGTCATGCGTTGCTTATTTGGGAGCTGTCTCCTACTAAGGGGCTGGGTGCTATCTAATGTTAGAAGACCCAGACTTCAGCTGACACAGTGTATTGGGTTTGTGTGGCAAGGTTTTGGTAGCAGAGGGACTACAGGGGTGGCTGCTGTGAGAAGGTGCTAGAAGCTTCGCCTGTGTCTGATTGATAGAGCCAATGCCAGCCAGCTCCAAGACACAGCTGCTGCTGGCTGAGGCCAAGCCCATCATCGACAGTGGTAGTGCCTCTGGGATAATGTATTCCAGAAGGGGGAATGAAAGAACTGTGGAACTGCAGCTGGAGAGAGGAGTGAGAATATGTGCAAGAAACAACCCTGCAGACCCCAAGGTCAGTGAAGAAGGAGGGGGAGGAGGTGCTCCAGGTGCTGGAGCAGAGATTCCCCTGCAGCCCATGGGGAAGACCATGGTGAGGCAGACTGTCCCCCTGCAGCCCAGGGAGGACCCCATGCTGGAGCAGGTGGGTGCCCGAAGGAGGCTGTGACCCCGTGGGAAGCCTGCACTGGAGCAGGCTCCTGGCAGGACCTGTGGACCCGTGCAGAGAGGAGCCCATGTTGGAGCAGGTTTTCTGGCAGGACTTGTGACCCCCTGGGGGACCCACACTGGAGCAGTTCATGAAGAACTGCAGCCCATGGGAAGGACTCACAATGGAGAAGTTTGTGGAGAACTGTCTCCCGTGGGAAGGACCCCACGCTGGAGCAGGGGAAGAGTGCGAGTAGTCCTCCCCTAGGAGGAAGGAGCGGCAGAGACAACATGTGATGCAGTGACTGCAAC